TGTATCTATATATTTGTTTTCGTGTAGATTTCAATGAAGAGGTGGATGATCTGACATAAGATATCTTCAACTTTTCATTAAAAGATGAGGAGCCTTTCTCACAGGGATCAACTTCTCCTGAACGTAATGAAGTATTTGGAGTCCCCCCACTACAACAAATTATTTAAATGTTTAATTATTAATCATATATGTTTGTTTTCTAATTTGTGAGACTTTTATGTGTTTGTTTTAATTTTAAACTTAGATTATGTAATGTCTCTACATCATGTTAAACAGGTTGAGAAACATGTTTTATCACTCATTTTATAAACAAGTTCAAAGTAGGTTCAAAAATAAGTCGACATGACCCATTTATCACCCATTTCATAAATATGTTTAGAAATGGGTTCAGAAATAGGTTCAAAAATAGGTTAACACGACAAATTAATCACTTATTTCATAAACGTGTTGGTAGGTAATCAACGAGTTGACACGACACGTTTACGACCTGTTTAATAAACGGGTTAGTCGTGTAGTGTCAACCCGCCAATATACAGGTCATGTTTGGGTTTTGCATTTTGACACGATTAATAAACAGGTCGTGTTCGTGTCAACTTAGGGGTTCAACACGACACAAACACGACCCGTCAACACGAATTTTCACCCCTAGTGTGAGCCCATGGAAATTCTTGTGGGCTTGAGCTGTAGGTTCCTGTCTTCTACCCTTTGGACCAATCCCATAATCCGGCCCAACCCAACAGGCTTGAGCATCCTGATCCCAGCCTAAATTTCAGGTTTAAGCCCCTGAATAAAATTGCCTTCCAAGACTTGCTCGGTCACTCCAGTAAGTGGCGCCGCCAACACTTCACAGTTCCGGCGGTACTCCCTCATGGTGGACTCTTTGCCAGAGAGCCAGAAACTTCTCGTAAAGGCTCACTTCCTGCGACGACCTGAAATGTTCCAAAATCAGCCGCTTAAGATCCGCCCAGTCCCGGATCGCTCGTCGATCGTCTTCCCACTGGAACCAAGCCAGCATCTCACCTTCAAGGTTGACCACGGCCACCTCCAGTTACTCCGATTCAGCACTACGGTTGAGAGCAAAGTACCTTTCAGCTCGAAATATCCATCCATCGGGATCCTCCCCATCGAACACCGGCATCTCCATGCGCCTTGTCCGCCACTCTCCCCAACTCACGACCTCGCGGTTTGAAGTTTCCAATTGCCCGCCGTCATCAAACGAACCACCGCCTTTCTCTTCCCCACTTCCTAGTACCGCTGTTGGAATCGAGGGAAGCTCCATGACTGACGCCGAGGTTCCCGGCGTAGAACCACCACACTACCGTAGTAGTTCTTCCAATTTCCCTATCATCAGCTCCACGCTCCTCTCCAACTTTGGGATCTTCTGCAAATCCTCACAAAAGGTCTCCTGCAGTTCCCCTTTGAAGACCTCCATATCGCATTGGATCTCCTCGCAGACTCCTTCCGTTTTCTCGTCCCCCCTCTTCGTCGGTGCCATCCCAAGGATTGCTCTGATACCACTTTGTTAAGACTTCAATTCCAAATCAGATGATTCACACAATATCATAAAATTAGAGAGACGAATTGAATGGAATTGATCTGGACTGTAATTATCAAGGAAATATAAGAGGATATGGGGGTGTTTGAGTGACCCCTTGCACTCCCTAGAGCCAAGGCTTGTCTATGAAAATTACAAAGAAGTTCAACGATGATCCTCCCTACCCTCCGCTCTCTACTTTTATTCTCTAGTTCTAGCTAATCGTTTCCCTCTTCCCATCTCTTCTCCCGAGGCTCCTCTCGAGATCCGAGACATCACGCACTTCACTCAGCAGTGAGCTCAAGAGCTCTTTGAGTTTCCTCCATGTCAACACCTTTTCCTCCTCTCACAGATTCCACCTCACCAGCCTCCACCTCATCCCTTGCTGCCACAACAACACGAACTCTTCTAGGCCTTCTTCTAGCATAGGTGAAACGTAATGGGGGTCCAGGAGCCCCATCATATTGGAAAAGGGAAAGGTAAGTAGATAGAATCTCATAAAAAGGGCAACTGGAGGCAGTCGCTAAAGAGATAGAATCTCCGATGAGATGATGTTTATTTGACAAATTGGAAAAGGATAGGTGGACAATATTGTGGCTTGGAAAGTGGTCTCCCTTAATAAACAAGAAGGTGGCCTGGGGATAGGGAATTTGCTAAAGAAGAATCAAGCATTATTGGGTAAGTGACTTTGGAGGTTTCCTCTGAAACAAGGCTCTTTGTGGGCTATGCCTGTTAGAAGCAAGTATGGGCTGCAATCTAACGGCTGGGACTCTAATATTGTGGGGAGGGCAGTCATAGGAATCCCTGGAAATCAATTTCTCAAGGTCTTCATTTGTTTCTTGAGCAAGTTAAATGGAAAGTGGGGAACGGAAATCTTGTGAAATTCTGGGAAGATAAATGGTCCAGTGATCAGCCTTTTGCAATCACTTTTCCAAGGCTTTATAGTCTTAAATGTTAGGGAGGTGAAAGTTAAAGATGTTATGATCATTGATGGCATTTCTGATGTAAATTGGAACTTTGGGTTCCGCAGGAATGTAAACAAAAGAGAATGTGATCAGCTTATGAATCTATTGCAGGTTTTGGGGACTTTCTCTCCAAATCCTATCAGTCGTAATGTCCAAATTTGGGAGGGTGGTTTTAATAGGTCTTCTTGTAATTATTTCTTCCAATCTCTGATAAAAAAAACCCAAACAGTTTTCGCTTTGAAGCTTTTAAATTTGATAGCTTTTTACATGAACTTGTAAAAATCATAACTAATTCTTAAAAAATCCAATTTAAGTGATCTAAGAACCCTGTTGAAGCTTAGGATGTCTATTTTAGACTAAAAATATTAGCTTAAATTTTTTTTTAAAAGTATACTAGAATACTGAAACCTTTCAATTGGTCATAGAAACTCATACATGAACACTTGATCATACATATAACATACGATCTCTTACACTTAAAATTCACCCTCAAACACATAAATCAACATCTTTCAAAGAGTTTATCTTACTCAAATCAGCAAGAAATTTAAGTTAGGATCAACAGAACAACACGTCCAACCACAAGAATCACAAACCAAAGTGTTTGAGAACCTTACCCTTTAATCGAACGTTCAGACTCCTAGCAAGCAAATTTGTGAATTTAAAAAGAAAAATGTTATGGGCTGTAGGTGGTGGATTAGAAATGAAATTTTGTCAAGAAAGCATAAACAAATTCGGATTAGTTGTTGCCCATAAGAAGGATGCTAGAACAAGATTTAGGTGAAGAAACTTATGAAAAACAACCCTTAATCTTCAGGAACTTCAACCTTTCATGAAAATTCAAAGTGGAATGCCAATTGGGAAGAAATTCAAGAAAAATGGTTGGGCATATTGCTACTGTGAGTTGGGAAAAGAAAGAAGGAAGAAAATTCATATTTGGAAGGGTGGAATGGTCTTACACCATGGTTTTGTAAACTTTTAGAAATTTGAACTTTCCACATTATTATGACGTTAAGCCCCCAATTCAATTTATGTATGCCAGACATGCTAAGCACGTGAGGGTGGATCAGTTGGTACTTGAGGGCTATTTTTGGGAATTGCTGATGTCATGGGGAATTGTGCTTCTGGTAGTGAGGAAATTTAGTTATGTAATGGAATAAAAGTGGGAGGTGAAAGGGGAGGGAGGCACGCATTCAGTGTAATTGTAGGAGAGATCCTTGGGAGAGAATTGAGCTTATCGAAAGCTCAATATCTATCTTTACTTTCCCTGTATTTTCCATTTCCGTTTTGAGACTTTATTAATACAAATCTCAATTTCCTTTTTCGTTGTGCACTGGGTTCTATCATCTGGTATCAGAGCCAGTCCACCATGTCGCGGATTCGAGTCGAAGCGGTTGCGTTATAGGCTGGATTAAGATGCATTGGTGAAGCCGTCAAAGCATCGAATACAAATAGTCGAGTGAAGCCACCAAAGAGGAAAGGGCTACCGTCAGTCAGTGCTGATAATGTGAACCGCCGTTAATTTGGACCCAGACGTGGTAGAATATTACAAAGCCACCATGTCAACTATGGGATCAGACGTGGTATGGACTGCAGTTCTTTAACCATTGCCTACAAATGGGGCGACTCAGGAAGGACTGCCACCCGATAGAAGGCGTAATCCGCGAAGTCACCTAGTTAGGAAGATGGGCTGCTGTGGACAGCGGTTGCGGAGCTTGGTGGAATGTTAGATATTAAAAGTCCCACATGGAATGATTATAAGACAAATAATGTGGTTTATAAGCCCTTAGGTTCCCTCCCCTTGCAAGCCAGTTTCAAGCGTGAGTTCTACCTAATGAGTTTCAAACCCCCATTTAAAATTGTCATCATGTGTTGGGTCTTTAACATATATCGGGCTTAAATATTCACGTGTTGGGCTTTCCAATTAATTTACCCACACGATTGCCCATTGTCCAGCCCACACGTGAGGGGGAGTGTTAAAGTATAAAACTATTGGTTGCCCACTTCCTAATAACTTAAGCTTTTGGGATGAATTGGTAAACTAACATGGTATCAGAGCGGGAGGTTCTGAGTTCAAACCCCCGTAATTGCACTCTTTATCCCCATTTAAAATTGTCATCATGTGTTGGGTCTTTAACATATATCGGGCTTAAATATTCACGTGTTGGGCTTTCCAATTAATTTACCCACACGATTGCCCATTGTCCAGCTCACACGTGAGGGGGAGTGTTAAAGTATAAAACTATTGGTTGTCCACTTCCTAATAGCTTAAGCTTTTGGGATGAATTGGTAAACTAACAAGTTTGTAACAATTAGGTATGTATGTACAAATCTCACTATGTTGAAATATGTATGTATGTACATTATGTTTTCCCGTCATGATCTATCACTGATCTAGCATGGTAGTTGGCTAGCGGCAAGTCGTGACAAAGGGTATTAAATCTCATGCTATAAAAACAAAAGGTGCATAAAGAAAAGATAAGGATATAATAGTTCCCTACCACTTCAATTGTTCGAGCATTTGTTATATCGCCTTGTACTTGAATCACACCTTCAATTGGAGCCATGGGCTGCAAATCAATAGCTACAATAAGAGGAAGATCACCATCCCTGCATATAACAATGACGTATAAATTTATGATATTTTCAAGTGTCTAGTGGCTTGAAGAAGATAGGTTTAATATTTAAATTCTGTATACAATTGAATGGAATTACGAATCACTATAGAAATGCAAAAACAGATCGATGACTATGAGTAAATTAAAAGTGAATGAGTAAGTCGGCAAAGTGGAAAAGAAATTGTGGAAATCCGGATCCTTCCTGATCTCTAGGGGTCCGGATTCTTCTCTGATTTGAAGGATATTTGCCAGTTGTAAATTAGATGTCAAATAGCCTGTTTTATTAGTTTCCTAGAATAAGGGATTCTGCTAGTAACTTGCCAATTCCCATTTAAGTAGTTTCCTATTTTTAGTCCTTTAGTTCTACTATATATATTCTTGTAATGTTATACCAGAAGATCAATGAGAAATTATCAATTTCACTCTCAATTTCTCACATGGTATCAGAGCACTTTCTGAACCTCTAAAAATTTTTCCGATGCCCAAGTACGGAATGGCCGGAGAAAAACAAACCGAGACCTCCTCATCTGAGGTTTCATCAAAACCCGAAGCAACCATCAGAGGCAGCCAAGACGGGTCTGAAAGTGTTCAAATCCCATCACCGGACACAAATTAAATGGGAATAATTATCTCCAATGGTCACAATCTATCAAGATGTTCATCTGTGGGAGAGGAAAAGATGAGTACCTCACCGGAAAGATCGTTCAACCAAAGGTTGCCGATCCAAAATACAGAACCTAGAAGGTGGAAAACAATTTGGTAATGTACTGGTTAGTCAATTCTATGACCAATGAAATTGGTGAGAATTTTCTTCTCTGACACGGCACAAGAAATCTGGGAGGCAGCGAAGGAATTATACTCCAGCAAAGAGAACACCTCAGAAATCTTTGAGGTTGAAAGTATCCTTCATGATCTTCGGCAAGGGGATCTTAATGTGACTCAATACTATGGCATTCTCACTCATCATTGGCAGCGGCTGGATGTGTTTGAAGAACATCATTGGGAATGCCCAAATGATGCAAAGAAATACAGGGAAATAGTTGAAAAGAAAAGAATATTCAAGTTCCTCATGGGACTTAATAAGAATCTTGATGAGGTTCGGGGGCGAATACTGGGAATGAAACCCCTGCTTAGTATCCGGGAGGCCTTCTCTGAGGTGCGAAAAGAAGAAAGCAATAAAAAGGTGATGATGGGAGATGTTCCTGCTACTCCAACCATTGATCAAAATTCTTCCCTAGCTACTCGAGGAGTCCAACATCATGGCAGTGACAACCGGACAAAGAAGGGAAGACCGTGGTGTGAGCACTGCATGAAACCTGGTCACTCTTGAGACACTTGCTGGAAGATTCACGGCAAACCTGGGGATTCGAAGCCATCAAGGAATGTTCCTGACAAAGAGAGCCGTGGTAACCATGCTACAATGGAAGACGGATCTTCTCCTCCAGAATCAAGTCCTTTCACCAAAGAACAATTCGAGACCCTGCAGAAAATGTTCACTCAGAAAAATACAATCCATAATACCATTGGAACAGGATCCGTAGCACAAAAAGGTAATCACTTTAGTGCCCTTACCGTAAACTCGAAGAACTCAAAACCATGGATTGTAGACTCCGGTGCCTCCAGTCATATGATAGGAGATGCCTCACTGTTCCACAAGTACAATCCATGCCAAGAGAATTTTACTATAAAAATAGCCAATGCATCTCTCTCTGAAGTGGCCGGAATAGGTTCCATTATCATTTCAAAGGACCTCACTTTGAATTCAGTCCTCTATGTTCCGAATCTAGATTGCAATCTTTTGTCCATTAGTAAGCTAACTCGAGAACATAACTGTGTTGCTAAATTTTCTGCAAATCTGTGTGAATTTCAGTATTTGATTTCGGGGAGGATGATTGGCAATGCTAAGGTGTGCTCCGGACTATTCCTTCTTGAGGCTGATGGATCTCCTCGAAGACAAACTCATAATGCAGTATGTGTTGAGTCAAATAAATGTTCCGTTCCTTGTGATATTATGTTGTGGCACTATCGATTAGGTCATCCTAATTTCTTGTATCTTCAAAAACTGTTTCCATCCCTATTCAGAAATAAAAATCCAACAATGTTTCAATGTGAGGTGTCAATTTTCAAAGCATACTCGTGCATCTTATCGTATTCTACCATACAAAGTATCTCAACCTTTTTTGATGATTTACAGTGATGTGTGGGGAGAACTATATACATGAATACCAATCTTGGGAAATCAATACCTCGGACTCATCTAGAACTCCCTATCCAAACATCTCAGAACCCTTACTCATCCAACAACCTGAACCCGAGTTTGAACCCGAGTCATTTCAACACCAAAGTCAAAATCACCCGGAGTCATCTCAACAGCAAAATCAAGACCCTACTCCAGTCACTCACACTCAACTTGAACTTCGTTCTCAGATAGAATTCCAAACACCTCAGCGATCCAACCATACACCGCCTGCAACAAATGAGTTCCGTGTCTACTCTAGGAGGACAAAAACTCATGAAGGAAGAGAGCGGCAGCCACCTGATCAGAACCATGAATCCAATCCGAACCATGAATCTCAGAATTCACTAGGTAACATTAATCCTGATCTCGCACCTGTCAATTCTCCTATTGATGATAGACCTATTGCCTTGAGAAAAGGGAAAAGGTTATGCACGGATCATCCGATCTACAATTTTGTCTCATATAGAGGATTGTCACCCAGTCACTATGCCTTTGTTAGCAATCTTGATAAAATACAAGTTCCGAACTCAGTACATGAAGCTCTCAAAGTACCTAAGCGAAAGGCAGCTACTTTGGAGGAAATTTAGGCACTAGAAAAGAATGGAACTTGGGAGATTTTGGAGTTGCCAGCAAGAAAACGCCTAGTTGGCTATAAATGGATCTTCACAGTCAAGCACAATGCGGATGGCAGTATAAACAGATTCAAGGCACGACTTGTTGCTAAAGGGTTTACTCAATCCTACGGAATTGACTACCAAGAAACATTTGCCCTTATAGCGAAGCTCAATACAATTCGAGTGTTACTCTCACTTGCTTCCAACCTTGATTGGCCACTATATCAACTTGATGTGAAGAATGCTTTCCTCAACGGGAACTAAGAAGAAGAAGTCTACATGGAGATACCACCAGGATTTGAAATGGAATATCATCAACCAAGGTCTGCAAGCTCAAGAAGTCTCACTACGGCCTAAAGCAATCACCAAGGGCATGGTTTGACAGGTTTACTAAAGCAGTCAAGAAGGTTGGGCACGATCAATGTCAGACAGATCACACCATGTTTGTCAAACATACAACCTCCGGGAAAAAGGCAATATATTCATTGTGTATGTTGATGACATCATTCTAACCGGAGATCATCATGAAGAAATAGTCAGACTCAAAAGTTTTCTGGCCAAAGAATTTGAGATCAAGGACTTGGGGACCCTCAAGTACTTCCTCGGAATGGAGATAGCTCGATCAAGAAAGGGAATTTCAGTCTCATAGCGAAAGTATGTGTTAGACTTGTTGAAAGAAACAAGGATGCTTGGATGCAAGCCTGCTGACACTCCTATGGACCCCAACTCGAAACTGGAAAGAAAAGATGACAGTGCTCCCGTTGATAAAGGGAAATATCAAAGGTTAGTTGGGAAACTAATTTACCTTTCTCATACTAGACTAGATATTAGTTTTGCTATTAGTATGGTGAGTCAATTCATGAACAACCCGACAGAAGAACACATGGAGGCAGTATACAGGATCCTAAGATACTTAAAAATGACACCTGGTCAAGGACTGTTCTTAAAAAGGACGATAAACAGGGAGATCGAGATTTACACCGATGCAGATTGGGCTGGATCTATTACAGACAGAAAATCAACCTTAGATACTGCACATATGTCTGGGGAAACTTAGTTACATGGCGGAGCAAGAAGCAGTCAGTTGTGTCTCGAAGCAGTGCAGAGGCAGAGTTCAAAACACTAGCTCATGGCATTTGTGAAGGAATGTGGTTAAAGAAGGTACTCTGTGAACTTAAAGTTCCCATCACAAAGCCGATGAAAGTATTGTGTGATAATCAGTCAGCTATCAGCATAGCAAAGAATCCAGTACACCACGACAGGACAAAACATGTTGAGATTGACATACACTTTGTTAAAGAAAAGATAGAGACTGGAACAATATCACTCCTATACATTCCAACTAGTCAACAGACAGCAGACATTCTGACTAAGGCTGTGACTAGAAAGATTTTCGATGAACTTAATTCCAAGCTAGGTTTGATCAACATCTACAACCTAGCTTTAGGGGGAGTGTGGAAATCTGGATCCTTCCTGATCTCTAGGGGTCCAGATTCTTCTCTGGTTTGAAGGATATTTGCAAGCTGTAAATTAGATGTCTGGATTCCTGTTTCCTAGAATAAGGGATTCTGGTAACTTACCATTTAAGTAGTTTCCTATTTTTAGTCCTTTAGTTCTATATATATTCTTGTAAGGTTATACCAGAAGATCAATGAGAAATTATCAATTTCAGTCTCAATTTCTTACAGAAATCATATTAAATCGCCATATAATTGTTAGGGTTTCAATATTCATAATTCTCAGTACTCAGTAGTATTTTCACAAACTATATATATATATATGGAAAAAGAATAGAACCTATTATCTACTGCAATGCGGTTCCTTAAAGTCTCCAAACTATTGAGCGTATCATGCCCAATACACACACACAGACATATATATTCCTGTTTTGTGTTGATTGATACACACAAAGTAACTTACTTAGAATCGGGAGAAAGCTTTGCCGGGAGATACAATTTTTGGCTCAAAACCTACAGATGAAAAATAGAAATCAGAGATGGATCAAGGGATTTGCATACCACTTCCTCTACCTACAAGGCTTGACGACTTCAGTGTGACAGAATCCATGAAGCGTGTTTGATGTTTCAAAGTAAAAATTTGGACGAAAAGCTTCTTTTTGGTTAAAGCACAAATCCCTTAGCTTTAAGCAGAGAAGTAAAAAACTGAAAAAAGCAGCAAACTTGCAATTTTAAAACTATAACACCACACACAATATCATAGTTTTGGAGCTTGTAATTGGCCCCTTGGTATCAAGAAGACAGGGAAGCAAAGAAGGGTGGAGAAATTTCATCTGAATGATTGCCTTAAACACTAAGAGGAGAGAGGGAATGTGAGAAAAGGTCATCTCAACCGTTGATACCTGACTCCAGCTACCAGGGGCAGCACAGAGATCTACCACACGCTTCACTCCTGAAATCAAAACAATTGCATGGTTACAGCACAGCAGTGCAAGGACTGCAACTGCATATTTATGTGTATAATTGAGCTCCATCGCCATTAATTCAGTGAGAGATAAATTTTCAGATCTGGCTAATAGTAAATTATACATACAATTTCCCATGACCATGGCTCTCTTTCAGTTCCAATAGATGGCTATTATTGAGACTATATCTTGAGTGCAAATGGATAGAGTTTGTTTAGTAGATTTTATTTGTCCCCGGAACTCTTTTTGAAGATAAATTAAAGAAACAGTGGAATATTTGAAACATTGATTTTGACATTGCATCCTCTACCTTCAAATATGTTGAATTCCTCATCTATCTGAAGAAGCTTAAAGGCACTTCGAGCACGCCAACCCTCTTCTTTTGCTTTACGATAATAAATATCCTGCAGTTGAATCAATCAATTGATTAAAAGCTGAAGATCAAAAAGAAGTTGATGACTACTTAACAAAATAGAAAACCTACCCTCTTATCTCTTGAAGCTTTTCCCATGTTATTATAACAAGACGGGTACTGTTTTATGTGAAAACTGCATAAACAAAATTCCCAAAGGCCATGGTTAGCACGAAAATCAGAAGAAGAGCTTTAATCTGTATAGAAGAAGCTCTAATATGCATTTTTGCTCTGACGATTTAGCTTCTCCAAGAAGAGTTTCAAATTTTCCTTTCAATAAATCGGAGACTGAACATATATAACTAAGCAAAATGACCAAAATTCAACGGATTTGAAGAAAGCACGAGGACCCGTCTGTCATAATGAAGAATCGAAGTATCAATTAGTCATTCCTTAACACCTTGTCAGCCGCTTCTAGGATCTTAACAGTTGTTTATTTTTGTTCTTGAGCCATTATTCCACATTCCGATGAAAGCATAATGTAAAATGATGTGTTCAAAAAGTTGCAAAATGAATAAAGGTTATAGGAAAAGGAAACACAAATCAATTGTTAGCCAAAAAAAAAAAAAAACTAGTTTTGCACTTAAACAGAAACAAGAAGCAAGTCTTGGTCACATTAATTAACATCTAATGAGTAATTTCTTCGAACGGCTTGTGTGCATAATGAAATTATCTGGGATTAGCTATGAAACTTAAAATGTGCAAAATGCAAACAACAAACAGAATAATAGTATAACGTAACTGTAATTGAATCCAAATAAACAAAACAGTTCCACATCGAAAATCCTAAAAAAAAAAAAAAAAAAAAAGTGTTAATAGAAAATAGAACGAGAAGAGAGCGCACTTGAATTCCTTTTGTCGTCTCTTGTACTTCGAAACTTTGAGAACGACAGGACAGTACGGAAAACACGGGGCAGCAGAAAATCAATGATTCAGAGACCAGCAACCATTAGAAGGACGGCGTCTGAGCGAGCGGTGGACGGGAGCCAAGAAGGACAACCGCAGCGCGTCTGTTGGCCGTTAATGACACGAGAAAGGAGGGGCGCTGTGCGGCGTCCGGAGGTCGGAGGTACGTCGAAAAGCTCGGTGTGCGGCGGCTTTCTTTCTTCCACTCTGATATGAGAGAGAGAGAGAGAGAGAGAGGAGTTCTCAGTTTATGACTTTGAACTCCAAACGCAGCATTGAGTTTAGGGCCGGTTTCCTTAAACTCAAATCACACGGACTTGTTTATTTCATATATTCAATTTTAGATTATTAATTTTATTATAGTATTTTTCTTTTATAAAGAAAATGTAAATTTTAAAAATTAAAATTAAAATTTAAAATTTGAATATATTTTTTAAACAGATTTATAGTATTTTTCTCTAATAAAAAATTTAAATTTAAAAAATCATAATCAAGAATTATATTTTGAATATACTTTTTAAACGGTAATTTTTTAGCTTAATTTATAAAAACCCTTAAATATCTCATGTGTTACCAAAGTACCACTTTACCCCTCTTATTATTCAAATACCTAAAATATTTTATGTGTTTATAAAAACAGATCCAAAACACCCCATAAAGCAGTTAAATTTTTGAAAATAAAATGATTAGCCTTTCTAATTTATATTAAATGTTATTTTAGATATGATTTAACTAAAAAGTTAAGTCACAAATTTTAAAATATGCTCAAATAAATATTCCAATAAAAGAAATACTTCAATTATTCTGAGAGTTTTTCACTTTTAAGATTAATTTTATTTAATATTTTGGTATAATAATGTTATAAATTGTATTTATTAAATATCGAGAAGGGTAATCTTGATATTTTTTTAAAAAATATAATTGCTTCCGAGAGTGTTTTGGGTATTTTTTATAAACACATGGTGTATTTTGCGTTATATTTGTATAATAAAAGGGGTGAAAATGGTATTTTAACAAAATACAAAAAAGTATTTAAGTATTATTCCTTAATTTATAATTTAGCCCAATGAATTAAAATTGTTTTAATTTGTTGTTTATACAACTCAAATTAGAACGAAACTATTTCTTCTTAAAAAGCTTATTATGATAAGTTCAAGAGGAGGGATAGTTTTCTTTTGTTTTGAGTTTGTAGGGGCAAAATGAGACGCCCATTCTTTGGATTGTCAACTTTAAAAGCAACTCTTTTTTGACAAAAAGTTGAAATTCTTCCCATATATTCATACACCTTCTAGAATTTACATTGTATCAAATATAATTTTATGAGAGATTTTTTAGTGAACAAACTTTCGAATCCTAATATAAGATTATAAGTTGTTAATTTATTTTCTTTGAAATTTTGGTGGTGAAAGGTTAGAAAATTTCCGCTAAAGATTAGGGATTTTAAAGGTCGTGGTGAGTCTTAAATAGAAGTAATCATTGTTTTGTATTTTAAAATGATCGTAGAGAAAAGTTGATTAATATAGTGGAAGGGAATGGTTTTTTTTTTTTTTTTTTTTTTTTTTATAATGAACGTGGCTATATTGCCAAACCTGATAGTATTTGCACCTCTTTAGCATGTTTTTTTGTTCTTTCATTAAGTTGAATTTGCAATAAGTATATTTTGTTTTAATTATTATAATGACATGTTCATTACCGTATTGAATATTGGTGATGTACGATTCATTCTTATGAATTGTGAAAAAATGACATATTACCTTTCCATTCTGGTAAAGAAGTCATCTTTATGATGACAATAGCTAAAGTTTAATCATATTACATATTTTTAGCAAAAAAATCATATTACATATATCTTTAAAGATATACAATAATAAATAATTAACGAAAACTGAGAAAGTTCTCTTTATGGCAAAAGTTCAAAGCTTAAATTGCCATCCCTAATCTCATCCTCACTACGAATGTTCTTAACATCGACATCTTTTAATGCCCATTTCATCTCCCTCTAAGTTGTCGTTTTCTAAATCCAAGGTAAAATTGTAATTTAAAATCTTTCAGATTACAATATCAATGGCAATGACTCTCCATCATCAGCATCCAATATCATGTCACAATTTTCAACCTGTCAAATATCTAACATTATCAAAATGAATACAAAAATAATGATACAGACTTAAATATAAATATAAAAACATATTCTAATTTTCCTTTGATATGACAATAAATAAAAAACAGTATAAAGAAATTCTCAAGTCTTATTCTTCTTGTTAATTAATTATCGAATCTCTTTCCGTAAGAAAACTTAATTAAAACTGATAATTTTTAAATTCATAGTATAACTTTTAACTTAATTCACAACATATTTATAATAACATTTTTCAGAACATCACATTCCAAAAAAATATGTTAATTTATATTACGTGTAAATTAAAGAAAAAAATAATTCTTTTTTAAGATTTAATCTCTTTTGAGAATAGGTAGGATTACCAAAATACCCCTAGATTATATACCATTAATTGTTTTCTGTTGAAAACCTTAACAAGGAGATTTTTTTTTTTTTTTTACAATTCATATTTTGGGGAACAAATGACAGTGTATAGTTCGGAATGAACTTTTATAATTTATCCAATATTTTAATAGGCAATAACTATAAGAAAAATACTTAAAAGGGATATATTTGTAAAAAAAAAAATTATTTGAACAAAAAACAAATTAGAAACGATAAAAATAATTTAATTAAGTTAATAAGAAAATAGACAATATATTAAGGGGAAAGCAATAAAAAATGAAGTAAACAAGTGAGGATGAAAAAAATGAAGGTCTAAAAGCTGTAAATAGAAAAGAAGCGAGGACTAAAAACAAAGCAATAAAACAGGGGGAGATCCTTTGAAAAACTAATAGCTTTTTATATATATGTTAAAAATTATAGGGAGAAAAAATTATCCTCAGCTAAACATGCTCTTAAAACTTTTATTTTTAATAATAATAAAATGGTTTAGATAATCTTTTTTTTTCACCCTTAGCCCCTTTTTTGGTGACACAAATACGAATTTGTATTGAGAAATCTAACATATAGGACGTGAAATCCTTTCTTTCTTTCTTTTTTTTAATCTATATGATGAGATGCTTGAAGTAGGAGAATAACGCACAAAACAATTCACAAAGACAAGAGACTTTCTCTAGTTCTTGTAACAACAGACTACCAATAATTTTTTATTTATAAGCTGTTAGACTGTATCAAAATATATCTGTTTTATATATTTTTTAATCTGATATGATTTTAATAAGATTAAATGATAAAAAATTAGAACTACCGGTAAGATGGACTTAATAGTTTCTAAGGGTTATTACCCTCAACAGACTCTCCAAGAGCTAAAAATGACCTTATCACCCTTAACAGATGCATACATGTACTTCATATGATCAAAATCATAAAAAAAAAACAGACGTTATTTTCCATTGGAGCTTAATTGCAAAAATTTTAAGTTGAAGGGTCAATTGCCAAGAAAAAAGAATAAGGATTAAATTGTCAAATTCAAAAAGCGAAGGGAATATTCATACAAAAAGCTTATAAATAATGGTCATCGTACATGCCAAAAAAAGCTGTAAGTTTTTTTAAGAAATTTCTCCAGTAGTCTGTTTTACCGGTAGTCTCAATTTTTAACTATTATATCTGGTCAAAATCACATCAAATTAAAAAAATACGCAGAACAAACATTATGATGTACATGTAACGACTGAAAAATAAAAGACTAACGATAATTATTTTTTCAAGGATTATCATAGAAACTCCTTTTTTCTATTATTATTATTATTACTACTTAGGACATAAACAAATAAATATAGATGGTGTTTATATCGTTTTTGCTCTAAAGATGGTGTTTATAGCTTACTAATAACTATTACACGTTGAAAATGCAGACAATTTAATTACTATCAATTGAGACTTAAATTCAGTACTCAATACGTGGGAAAAAATATTTTCAAATATTTTAAAATCCTCCAAAATAAAAAAGAAATTGTTCTAATAAGAAAAGCTTTCCTCACAAAAAAATAAAACTCCAAAAATGCTAGTTATTTCGTATTTTTAGTTCAAATGAATACTGATTTAGTTTTTTTTAGCTTTACTTCATTCCAACCATTAGCTAAATGGTTAACTATTTTAAATAATACATTTCACACTAGTTAAATATAGTTAATATTGAGAGATTAGCCATTTCAATTTTTGTACAATTTTATTTTTTCAAAGGTAATAAATGCAAAGATTATTTTATAAATTCAATAGAATTATTTATATTTTAAATTTAATAAATATTAAAATAATATATATTTAGCTAAAAGAGGAATTATGGTTGGAGTAACTCACACAAAATTGCTATTAAAATAGTTTTTTTAATTATTTTAGTTAGAACTTAGCTAAAATTTAAAGAGTTCCGTTAGAGATGCTCTTAGCCATTTGTTTTATTTTTTCTTTGTTTCCTAAAACAAAATTAAAATTGTTGTTCGTATCTTTTAGAGAACAAATTTGTTTACTGTGTTAGTTTAGAATTGACCGTTGTAAGCTATTAGTTTATTTATTTATTTATTTAAACTTTAGGGTGGAGATTCAGACTCTACAATTATCCTAGACCCCGTTCACTTCGCTGATTCGAGTTTAGAATTCGAGTTGAGATGTGATTTTATGTGAGAACTTTTTACTGTAGCAAAAAAAGTTAGATGTGATTGTTTGTGAGAGCTTTTTACTGTAGAAAAACTCGAATCAGCGAGTGAACGGGGCCCTAGTCTATGGCAACAAGTTCACAACCAAAACAAAAAGCTTTGACTAATGTCCAAAATAAGGGACTTTTTCTAGTATGTCAGCTTACTATTAGAGTCAGTTTCTAATTATTAACGTTTGATTTATAGATTAGAATCATTTTTAATTTATGTATATTTTTTGTGAGAAAAAATACTATAGCGAACCACGAATCATGATTCAAATTAAGGGACGAATCCCTCAACCAAACAATCCATCGTATTAGATTAAAAAATTATATAAAATAAACAGTTTTTAATACACATTTAGCAGTTGAAAAGTAAAAAACTATCGATAATTCAGGGTCTGTTTAGTTCGTTGATCCAAGTTTTTAATTCGAGTTGAGATGTGACGTTATGTGAGAGCTTTTTCCTGTAACAAAAAAGTTAGATGTGATTGTTTCTAAGAGCATTTTACTGTAACAAAACTCGAATTGACGAAATGAACGTGGCCTCATTTTTTTCAGTCCTACTAGATAAACTCCCTTAAAATAAATAATATATTCTCCAAATAAACTTAAACTCAAGTTCTATTACTACAGTGTGTTCTCTCACAAATATTTACATTTAACTTTTTTACTATAATATTTTTTCCTCACATATACATCTCAAAATTCTAACTTAGGTTGAGACACAAACATAACCTAAACCCCTCACAATCATATTTTCTATATTTCATTTTCATTGTTGCTGCGGAAAATACAGAATAAACTACCAAAGTTTTCTTCGTTTACTTTGTAAATCCGATATTATATTTGATGCAATCGGGAGAGAATCGGTATGTAATTGTTTCTATATGAGAGGCGTGCAAGAAAAAGAAAGTGTACTTTCTACCCAATAGGCAAAAGCATATGCTAAGAGAGCTTCCTTTTTTGATTCCTGCAGCAGTTGCTCATCCTAGAGAATATCCATTCAAAAGTCCCTTCCGTCCCCACAGATTCCTTCAAAAAATCGTTTTCTTCCTCTAAAACCCAAACCCACAAACAATTCCCTTTACTTAATTAATCGTAAATCCGTAAGGTTCCGCAACGAAACTCTTATATTTTACTCCCTCAATCATTCATCATGATGACTTTAACTTCTCCCTCTATAAATCCCACTCTCTCTCCTCCCCCTTTCTGCAGAGCCACTACCTCTTCTCCTGCTTCTGCTTCTTGTTCTTGTTCTCGTTCTTCTTTCTCAGCTCCTGTTTGTGTCAAGTTTCCTCATTTCCAATCCTCTAAAGCAAAACCCATTTCCCTTTTTGTGAGAGGAGCCAGGCAAAGGACAAAACTTGTGGTTAAAGCAAGCGATAATATGACTATTACGGAGGTTCGGCCTGAAGAAGAGGAAGAGGGTCCTCCTCTTTTGGACACAGAGAACAATTCCAGCCCTCGTCGTATTGCTCTCTTTGTTGAGCCTTCTCCATTTGCGTGAGTCTATTTTGTTTTTGCTGAAATTCATTACTTTCTGGTGTCATTTATCTTTTCATTATGCCAACCGTTTCCATTGTGATTATGTTTTTTTCTTTGTTCTGATTGCTAAGTTTAACCCATTCTGTGATGGGCATTTAAGATTTTGTAGCGGCATGTAGTTTTGTGCTTTTACTCTTGCTTGGCCTAGCCATTTCGTTGGATAGTTACATACATTTTGCATTTCAGGGTTGTGTAGCTTGTTATACCTGCTGCTGTAGTGATAATTTTGGGTCTTGCTATGTTCAGAGAAGACTCATTAAGAAGAAAGGTAAAGGGTAAAATAAACCTGAGTCCTTGGTCGTTTAAATATAAGAATAAACGTAAACTTATAAGGAGATTAGGTCACCTCACTTTTTTTGGTGATTATTAGACCTCCTCACTTAGTAGGTCGATGGAAGTCCAACTTCTTAAAAAATCCAATTCCTATTGAGAAGAAACTATTTTTTTTTTTTTTAATATTATAGAGAAGGTTGTTAACAAAAGTAACCTTTATTCTGATATGATATACATGCTATGATTTATATGGGTTAACTATATGATACTACTATATTGTTTTGGATCTGTGGACGGATATGCTCTAAAATGGAAGGATTTGTGCCCCCGAATATTAGGACCAAAACCCGTTGCCTTACCATTTGGCCACGCCCCAATATTTGACACTAATAAACACTAGCACTGTTATTGGTTGTTCGTCAACTTCAGTCTAAACATATATTAAATAAATTAGATTAATGATAGAATTTATGTCATTTTCTTAATGGTTTTGATTCATCTTTGTTCTAATTGCTAATTTTGAGACAAATTTGGTGATGGTGATGACTTTTTCTATAGCATTATGTAGTTAAGTTTTCAGCTTTGCTTCTTGCTTAGTGATTTGTTTACTTGGATGATTATACATATAGTCCTTCCATGATAAGTTAGCTCGTTGTACCCACTGCTATTAGGTTGGACTTTTTATCTTGCTCAGTTTTGTCTGCTGTTGTATATATGTGAATCTTTGATTTAGGTTGTCGTTTCTTTAAATATAATGGCTTTGCTTTTAATTGGGCATGTTATTTTATTCTTCCTTGTAACATTTCCCTCGAGGATCATCTTTTTCCTCTTTCAATTGATCTTGGTCAATCAAGTTATCATAAATTCATTAATATTCTTGGTCAATAGCATAGTTGGTTTATTACTTGTTTTTTAGCGCTTTTCATTTTGCAAGACATTGTTGCTCATGAACATTTAGAAATATTTTATAAATAAAAAATATCTTTTGCTGTTGGTTCTGTGTTGGTTTTGCCTTTGCTTTTCTTTCATGGGCTTTAGTTGCCCTTGTTTTAAAAATTCTTATTCTTAGCATTCTTTTTGTGTTTCCTCTTTCCTTGATAATAAGCTATTTTGTAAAGAGCACCAAGTGTGTGCCCTGTCTGTCGTCAAACTGTGCGTTTACTGAGAACAATTTTTTTTATTTGTCAATCTTGTAGATACGTGTCAGGATATAAAAATCGGTTCCAGAATTTTATTAGATACTTGCGCGAAATGGGTGATGAGGTATGTCATTTATAGCTCTCTCACATATTATATACAAGCTTCTCTCACATATTATATACAAGCTTGTTCAGCTTAAGAAAATTCAGTATATATTATACAGTTACCACTTTCTTTGATAACCAACAATAAACTACTTTAGTTAAGTGAACTCGAATTCATTCTTGCACTAGTTATTCCAAGTCATACTCGATATTATTTTGGGTTTAAGGCCTGGAGTTTTGTTTTTTTGTTTTTTTTTGTTTTTTTTTGTTTTTTTTTTTAATACAAAATTTGCTTTTGAATAAGTGAACTTGGCTTCCCGAAAATGATATAGGTGATGGTTGTGACAACACATGAAGGTGTGCCCCAGGAATTTTATGGAGCAAAGTGTATTGGATCCCGGAGGTTGCTATACAATCTAATTTCTGAGAACTTTTCTGTTATGATGGTTCAGTTTTCAATTTTTTATTTTTCATTCTTCGTAAGTCCTAATTGTTTGTTTTCTTCATGCTTGTTTATACTTTTTTTGTTCCCCCAGTTTTCCTTGCCCCTGGTATCAGAAGGTACCCCTATCTCTAGCATTGAGTCCTAGAATAATTTCTGAGGTTGCTCGGTTTAAGCCTGACATAATACATGCATCGTCACCTGGGATAATGGCAAGTTTTTTAATTTCTTTTATCTTGGTAAATTTATTGATATTTTTGTCCATATTTTGAGATAAAAGAACAAACAAGCCATGGCTGACATTTTCCATTTTATAGGTTTTTGGCGCTCTTATTATTGCAAAACTGTTATCTGTTCCTATTGTGATGTCTTATCACACTCATGTACCAGTGTGAGTTTTATTTTCTGGCTTTCTTTGGTAGCTTCTTTTTATCAGAAATCCATAATAAATACCATAGTTAAACTAGTTGGAATCTGCAACTAGATGTGGGGCCGTTTCTAAAATAATGCAAGAAATTAAAAAATCTAAAGATTTAGAAAACCAAATATATTACTGATTCTAAAGCTGAGATTTACTCTTGCATGTATCTGCAGATACATCCCAAGATACACATTTAGTTGGCTGGTGAAACCGATGTGGCTGGTTATAAGTACGTAGACTTACTTTCTTGTCCACGTCAGTAAACATGTCAACATTTGTGTTTAATAATTTGGTATTGCGTATCAGAATTTCTGCACAGAGCAGCAGATCTTACTCTGGTTCCATCAGCTGCCATTGCGAGGGATCTCCAAGCAGCAAGAGTGACAGCAGGTGAACCTAAAATCTTGTTCTTCCCTGAGCTCTTTTGGCGTGACTTTTTATTTGTAATGTTATTATTATTTTAGTTTCATTTGGTATATCTTTTCCACGCCAAACGACTTCCAAGAATATTTATTTCTGGACTTCTGACTAACTGTATATGTATGTGACCATCCACTAGAATTTCCCAGTGATTTGAGTTTTTATTGCTAATTTGCAGCCAATAAGATACGTCTTTGGAACAAGGGTGTTGATTCTGAAGGCTTCCACCCCCGTTTCCGCTCTCATGAAATGCGGATAAGATTGACGTAAGACCTTGCATTAGTTTGTCTATCTCACTCCCTTAGAGTTGGGACCTTCTTTTAATGCTATCTTGTTATTTTAAACAGCAATGGTGAACCAGAAAGACCATTGATAGTTCATGTTGGACGACTTGGAGTTGAGAAAAGTTTGGATTTCCTCAAGAGGTAATGCTACTTTAATCTTGCCACTTGGAAATAGATGAGCGGGTTTTGCCATTTATTCTTTTTTGTAGAAATTGAAGTAACATAGATTTGGAGTTTTGTGGCCCAATGAAGAGAACTGATGTGTTAAAGACGTTCCATTGAATCCCAAATGTTTGCTAAAACGGATTTTTAAAATCTAGTAGCATGTTTCCCACTGCCATGTGGTTGTGGAGACAAGTATAATGTTCTGTGCTGCGTCAGGTCATTATATGCCGTTAGTTCCATTGTTATTCAATTAGTTTCTTGCTTTTGACCTTTGTTAGCACTTGATTTAACAGCATCATGGACAAACTTCCAGAAGCACGAATTGCGTTTATTGGAGATGGACCTTACAGGTACACCCTCATACTTTGCTCTGAAAATCTTGTCAGATTTTTTAGTACAAAAAGGACACGCCCCACGCCCCAATTTTAACTTTTAGGAGCTCAATCTCTTAAAAAAATATGTATCCTTTATTAAATCTTACTATGGCTTTGACCTTCGACTTTCAAAGAGTGTTTTTTTATTATTTTTATTATTTATTTATTTTGATAAGTGACTTTTAAAGAGTTGGATCCCCAAAGCTCATTTTGTTTCTTCAGTGTCATTTTCCAGAATATACTCATATCCAGCAGATTGGAAACTATGATCTAACCTCATTAAGATTGCCGAATTTCTGTTTCTTTTTTTTTTTCAAATTCTTTTCCACTTTGATAAAAAAGTGAATATTTTCGACCCACAAAAGTGGACATTGAATTTGAATTTATCTGCACTTCATTTTACTAAAATATGCACTTAAACAATTTCCTTGGCAGAGAGGATCTGGAGAAAATGTTTTCGGGTATGCCTGCAGTATTCACTGGAATGCTAGGAGGTGAAGAGCTCTCTCAGGCTTATGCCAGCGGGGACGTTTTTGTCATGCCTTCCGAATCTGAGACACTTGGGCTTGTTGTTTTGGAGGCTATGTCTTCCGGTCTTCCTGTGGTTGCAGCCCGGGCAGGTGGAATCCCGGACATAATTCCTGCAGATCAGGAGGGGAAGACTAGCTTTCTCTATAACCCCGGAGATGTTGATGACTGCCTAAGCAAATTACAACCTCTGTTGCACAACCAGGAACTTAGGGAAGCCATTGGAAAAGCGGCACGCGAAGAGATGGAGAAGTATGACTGGAAGGCAGCGACTCGTAAGATACGCAACGAGCAATACAACGCTGCCATTTGGTTTTGGCGCAAGAAGAGAGCACAGTTTTTGGGACCCGTTCAGTGGCTGATTAAATGTATTTTCCCACCATCTCCAGAAGTCAACTGCAGGTGAAAGTAATCGTATTCAGTAGATTCAGATTCTGCTTTGTTTGTAAACTCATTTTATTAGACTCGAAAGAAATCCTTGTGGGATTGCGTGTGATTGGTTGTAGTGTATTCATTTGTTGTATATAATTGAATCAATATTCTCATTTCTTTTTCCATATTGATGTGTTTATTTTGGGAGCAGTTCTATATATTATCAGACATCACACACACATACTACTTAACCAATCACAAATTTACTGTCAATTTTGGGGTTCACTCATTACGACAGAAGGTGTTACATTCATATATTTATCTCTAATTGATCACCACCGGTAATATCTCCGTGGTTAGTGGAGTGCAATGTGTGCAAAGTGGAGATATTTACATTGCGATAAGTCCTACTCCTAGGGCATGAAACCTTGGACCTGCGGTGGGAATCCGACTTGAGTTGTTACTTAAGTGAGCGTCAAGGTTATTCCCCTTATTTTGGTGTCTAGAGGTAGTCTCCCAACATCCTGAAGCCCCCTTATTTTGGTGTCTAGAGGTAGTCTCCCAACATCCTGAAGCCCCCTTATTTTGGTGTCTAGAGGTGGTGTCTAGAGGTAGTCTCCCAACATCCTACCTCCCAACATCCTGAAGCCCCCTTATTTTGGTGTCTAGAGGTAGTCTCCCAACATCCTGAAGCGTACTTTTGATTGCATAGTACGTGCAACAATCCGTATCAGCGTGAGACTGGGTAGGGTGTGCTCGAGGTCCACCTCGAGCTTGGGGTGGCATCGGTGTCCACCTCATAAATGGTGTCAGTGCCGGACTCAAGTGTAACTGTTACAAACCCATTAAGTAGAACTCACCGTTAGAAAACTAGCTTGCAAGGGGAGAGTGACCCAAATCTTAAAAACTCATTTATCATAAAATTATTTTATGTGGAACGTTTAGTATCTAACAGTAACATGTTGTTTGCATCTACCTCGAGCATATGGTCATCTCCGGGTTTGCCACGGATGCAAGGTGGCACCAGCATCCACCTCGAGCATAATGGGGTACCAAGGCCTGCCTCAAGCATTATTTTATGTGGAACGTTTAGTATCTAACAGTAACATGTTGTTTGCATCTACCTCGAGCATATGGTCATCTCCGGGTTTGCCACGGGTGCAAGGTGCACCAGCATCCACCTCGAGCATAATGGGGTACCGAGGCCCGCCTCAAGCACAAGGTGATGTTACGTCCCCCTTGGCATAAAGTGGCGTCGACATCCACCTCGAGTGTAAGGTGATGCGTCCACAAGTGACGCCGGTGTCCATTTCGAGCAAAAACCGCGCCTTGACTCCAAGTTTTCTAACTCTTTCAACTATAACGGCACGACAAGTGGTTCATAACAATGAATTGATAGGAATTGGCCTAACAGAAACTCATTTGACTTGACTAGTCAAAACCCTATAATATCTTTTAATATCCAGGCATGAGCATGAATCATGTATCAGCTAACTTTCTCGGTGCATTCCCCCAAGCTGTTCACGCATGCAGCTGGATTTGGATGGGTTAGGGTCATTCTCATAGAGTCAATCATGGGGGCTAACCCCTTTGCCTATAGGTTTTATGAAAGCTCGTCAACATATGACTTTCATAGATGAACCCTTTTTATGCCCTAATTTTTTTTTTTACACCAAAACATAGAAGATATCTTGTGCAGAGCATACGGTTTTCCTAATTGAGAAGAAAATAAAAAAAATAATATAGATACCAATTTATTCTGTTAAAATCTATACCATAAATTGATATTACACTATTTTAAGACCCCACAAAATGTCAATCATTTAAATGTTCTTAGCAAACAACTGACCCTCGGCCTCTTCTCGCTTGTAATTTTACCAGGACGAGAATGTTTTGGGCTCCAAATGTTCTGCTTTAACTTGGTAGCACTTTTAGTGGTCAATATTATAAGTTTGATGTGGAGCTCCTTCTATCACAAAGACCAGAGTTCTTTCATAATGGGGGGATAAAAAGCAAGCAAAAAAAATAAATAAATAAATAAAATAAAGAAGAATCAATCATAGTATGCATGAAAATGCAAAAAAAAAAAAAAAAAAAAAAAAAAAAAAAAGCCCATACGCCATTATAAATTGTGTGGGACAAAGTAAGTTTCATTTTTCTTTTTTTTGGTGAACGTAAAGTAAGGGTCCGTTTAGTTTGTTGATTCGAGATTTTAATTCGAATTGAGATGTGACTTTATATGAGAGCTTTTTACTATAATAAAAAAATTAGATGTGATTATTTCTGAGAGTTTTTTACTGTAACAAAACTCAAATTTTAAATTCAAATCGTTAAAATGAACGGAGCCTAAGTTTCACAGTTCTTTCCTTTAACTCTGCCTCAGCAAACAGGCACCTCCAACACAAAGCTGAAAGCACTTTGGACGGGACGGTTGAGGAACACTCTAATTGGGTCAATTTGGAGGGCTCCAACAAATTCAATATGAACCACTCCACTATGTTGTCTCTGTCATTGTTGGATAGAGTAAATCTTAAAAGTTTCTTGTTTTTTTTTTTGTCAATCCTAATAACAGAGTGACCAAAGTCCATAGGTCCCATTGCATGAAACGGCAGACTTGGAAAGACAACTATTATTATTATTATTATTATTATTTATCTTAATCTTCCATAGATGAAATTATAAGGTATATGAATGAAACGGAAAGAAATTAACTCAATTCTATTTATGGATCCTCTTTGACTAAACACCGTGATGGACCCAACTTTTATTGCGTATATCAAATATCGAATTTGTCCCAACCCTGAAAGAAGATGACCACTCCATTGATGATGAGTACAATCACATATACATATACATATATATATATATATTAATACAGTATCCAATTTGATCCCTTACTTTAGTAAATACGTCTTTTGCGTTTGAATAGATCCTAAGACAGAATAGATTTCAATGCAATTTCTTTCATTCATGATCTGGTTCCAGAATATATGTTTTTTGATGGAATGGTTCGAGAATCTAATTGTAAACCACAAACTGTTCATGAAAAGAAAAGGAAAATTAAACTTATTTCTCTAGAAAAGAGTTTCTTTCTTTTTTAAGACATGGTTTAGTACTATTAGAATAAATTCTTCCACAACGAAAGTAGTGTTTGTAGTTTTTTTTTTTTTTTTTTTTTTTTTTTTTTTTTCCTAAGAACCCTGATATAGCTTTAAACAGGTTAATAATAATTAAAGCAAAAGCACTTTTTGAGTTTTAAGCAGTTTCACTTGCACCGCCTTTGCAGTATTTGTCTTGTCTTTTGTGGGAAAGCAAATAGAAGTTTCATTTTAAATGATGATTGGTGTAAAATGTAAAGACAAATTACGAGGTAATTATCATGCGATAAATTACGAGGTAATTAGTGTGTGCGTGTGTTTTCCGTGGAAAATAAAAATTGCTGCCCTTTGCTTGCCCTGAGTAAGAAAGAGACCGAGAAAAGAAACGTCTTTTGTGAACGAGTTAAGCTCTCATCATTCAACCTAAAGAGTTCCCACAAAGAAGGAAATATATATATATATATATATATAAGGGAAAGAAAATTATTTTTTTTTAATGGTGAAAGAAAATGATTATTAACATTGTTAGTTTCTAAATTAGGAATATTGTGATCCTTTAATTTTAAATTTATAATTTTGATAATTGATTTTTTTATTTTTTTTTCTTTTAGTAATTCTTTAATCTCTGACACCAAAATTCTTCAGGGTTTTTCACATTTAAATATAGATAATCACGCTTTTGAGGACAATAACTGAAAATTAAAATTATACAAATTATTACATTAAACGTAAAATGCTCTTTTTGTAATGAGTTCTATAATAACGATGAGAATAATTTTTCACCTAATGTAATTCCTTTTGTAATTTTAAGTTATTATCTGATAGACACATGTTTATTTACGTTTAATTTCAGAAATTCTTCATTAATTTCAGGTAATAATCTGTTAAAATTAAAAATCCATGTATCAAAACAATCATTATACTAATAATTTAAGGATTGGATTAACACTACTAATAACCAAAAAAAAAAAAAAAAACAACAGATAAAAAAGCAAGCTTTTTTATACTATATAATATATAAAAACATTTTTTTAAAGTCACGTGGAGAAAGTGACTAACAGAGAACGCTGCAAATATACAAAACCCCCCCACTACTACACAACAACTTGACCATGTCAACGAGTCCAATCCGGCCAAAGCGACGCCGTCTCATTTTTCCGTTTCTCCTTTGCCCGAAACAAACCCAATCCGGCCCAAATCACTGAGAGGAAAAATCCACCGCAGATACGTACTGCATGAACTCCTCATCGGCCTCCAAACCGGCCATGGTCGTTGGCGCCAGAACCACCTCGAGATCCACACTCCCGTTGCCTTCCCTCCCCGGAAACGCCGAGATCTTCCCGTCGAACTTGTTCGCCCGTCCACTCCTCACCGCCATCGGCTTCCCCCACCCAAAGTCGTTATTGTACATCGGAAACCTCGGCGAGCTCCCCATCGTGATCGACGCGCCGTCGAAGTTCCCGAGAGGGAACAGCCTCGGCTGCCTCGCCCAATCCTCTACTCCCCGCCTCACCGTAGCGTCGTCGTGCGCCACCACGTTTCGGTGGAGCAGATCGGCGCACCACCCGAGATCGTTCGCCAGGAGCTCCGATGCGGCGGAGAACGTCGGAATGCTCTGAATCGCGTTCCCGAAGTAGTGCGACTCCATCGGAGGACGCACCCTGTGCCGGCAGTTCACCGCCATCCGGAACGTCGTCGTCTTCGTCCCCTCGAGATTTCTCGCGCGCGTGACGGATCGCCAGAGCTGCGCGCAGAGGGACTGGAAAGCAGAGATCGCAGCCGTTCGATCGTTTAACCGTTTTCCGTAAATCTCGGCCGAATCAGGATTAACAAAACCGTTACGCGTCGCTTTAGATGTACGGACGATGCTTCCGTTGTTGGCTCTGAGCTTTAGCCTCTGTATCGCTTCTCTGCTGAAGTGGAAGATCCTCTCCCGCAGCGACTCGTCACCGGAGAAGGTCACCTTGGGACCGCTGGCGGGGAACCGGAGCACGGCCGGTGAGTTGAAAATGGTGTCACGGCTGAAATCCGGTGTCTTCGAGATCTTCTTCGCTCCTTTACAAATCTCGGCGAAGGTGTTGAAGAAGTGCCAGAAAGAGGTCCCGTCGGTGACGGCGTGGTTGACCGTGCACCCTATAAAGACTCCGTCGGCGAGCTCCGTGACCTGGACGGCCATCAGAGGCTTGAAGTGGCCGGTGTAGCTGACAGTCCGGTCGAAGGCGAAGAACTCCTTGAAGCAATCCGGAACGTCGTCGTCCGGAGGGAGAATGCCGTCGACGGAGAGGTGCTTGGCTTTGGCGAAGATGAAATCAACGCCGGCGTCGTTGCAGACGATGTGGACATGGCCGTCGTCGTCGGTGACGAGACGGCCAGCGAGCGCCGGGAAGTGAACGAGAGCGACGGCGAGAGACTGCTTAATCGAATTGATGAGGTCGTTAATGGAGTAGGGCGGGGAATTGAACAGAACGCCCTTTTGGATGTACTGACAGGACAACATCGGAAGATCCGAAACCGAGAGTTTCAGAGATTTGATTGTGGAATTCTGCTCAGGAACAATTGTGCATTTGGAAACCAGAATTATAGATGAAGAAGGCATTTTTGTTTTTGTAACTTCTCTTGTTGTTTTGGTTTCGAGTGTTTGAGCACTGAGAAGAAGAAGCCGAGGAAGTGGGGTTTATATAGAGGGAGGGAGCGAGGTTGGATTCATGCACTTGGCTAATGTGGCTGGTAATGGTAGTTTCCTCTGCTCATCTCACTAAACCGATTTTCCCTCTTTATTATTTAAAAATGGAAAGAAAAAAAAAACTAAAATAATTGAAATCTCTAATAATAAAATCCAAACATGTCTGGTGACGTGGCAAATGAGGTTCTAATAGTACGAACACAAAAACGACACTTTGATGTTACAGGAGCAAATTAGTTCATGTACTCTAGCAAATGTCAATTTCCATATGTTTCTGTGGCCAAAAGAATAAAGTTATATGTATTCCACCACACATACTGCACAACGGTAACACGAATCTACTTGTATAAATAGGATCAATCTCAAAAATAGTTTCTTAGATTTACCTTCAAGACTTTTAAAATGTCTCATAATTAATCTATAAGATTTTAATTTGTTTCAGTTTCAGTCATTTCATTAATTAATGGCTCGTTTTGTTCATGCGTTTAAATTAGTGATTTTTTATTTTGACATTTAAAATTCAAATTCTTTATGAGAAGAAAATATTGTAGCAAAATCAAAACTAAAAGTTTAAACGCATTAAACAAGCAGACCCTAAATGTTAAATATTTGATGGAATTTGTACAAATTAGAGACCATAATTAGAAACAGCTAAAATTTAGAGATTATTCATGAAAATTAACTTTTACTTTTTGTGTTGTTTTAGTCCCTCAATTTTAGATTTTTTTATTTTTTTATCATAATTTTAACATATTCGTCCAATATTTAACACCTTAGTAACGTAAAGATTGAAACTGAAATAAAATTAAACCTCAAGAATTAATTTTGAAACGTTTAAAAATTTAAAGACTAAAATGGAGTTGAAGAAAAAAAAAAAAAGGACTTAAAATCGAGCCACACTGAGCCAAATAAACCAAAATCGATTGGAATTTATGGTGCCACCTCAAATCGCCAGTGGTCGAGTGGTTAAACAAATCAGTCTTCAATTTTGAATTCTAAGAGAGTTTGGAATCAAACAAAACAAACTCTTATATATTCCAATGTTTAAGCTTCGAAGCCCAAAAGCTGCCATCGCCATGCACCCAAGAATATTGCTACCGCCCTCCCGCTCGCCATCGCCGTTACCAGGAAAAAAAAAAACAAAAAGGCGATAAAACGTAAATCTCACATGTGTTCTTACGAAATGTTACTTTTTTACCTTGTGTTTCTAAGAACACAATGACCATCTCGTGTTTTAATTTCTTATATAAAACCACCCTTTTAACAAAAATTTTGGTCAAATTTTAAGGTGTCAAACTACTATTTTAACCTCAATGCTGATTAGATTGTCAAATCTAAGGTGTTATGAGATCTGTTAAATTGGTCTTTTTGCACTTTAAGTTTGATCAAATTGTTTTCAAAAAGGAAGTTTTTAACATAAAATGTAAAACACGTGGGTTGGTTATGCATTCTTGAAACCACATGATAAAATGTGACATTTCAATAAAACGCAAAAAAAAATTTAGATACTTTTATCCCATAAAATTCCTTTATTCGCTCGCAAAAACCGACTGACACTTACTGAAATTAATCAGTTATTGACCAATTGGTTTTTATGCTTTCTTGATCGGTGTTCGGTTTTTCAAAATCGAAAGGATTAATTTTAAAAATTTTTCTGGACTATGACCCTTTAACACTTTGCCTCTAAAATTTAAAAAGTAACATATGTTCCTTCCGAGTTTTATTCTGTTAATAAGTTTTATTCTTTTGTTATAATGAGTGACATAATTGTCAGTATTACTTATTTAGTAAGAATTAAAAGCGCAATTATACTTATACTCTCCTAATAGATAATTTCTCATTTTTATTGAAAAAATTTTCCATTTTCATTCCCTTAAAATCTGCAACCTTTCTTGACCCCCAAACAACTGCTTCCTCACTACATCATGCAAACGCCCAAATAGCAATGCCAAATCCAACCTCTCCAACATCACAAGCGAATTCTTATTATACACAAACAACCCATAATACAAATCAAAGCTGCAGTATTTTCTAAATTCAACTTTGTCTCACACCCTTTTGTGTTAATCGGCGTTGATTCCAACTTCAACCCCTCCAAAACGCTCCCAACAGTGTGAGTGATGAACTGAGACTCGGCAGCGAATCTATCATGCTCAGCATAGCTCATCTGAGACGGATTGGTACGGACCTCAAGGCCTCCTCCGGCCACCGAGATCGGCGGCGTTATTGCATATGAATTCCTATTTTCAAATACAAACTATCTATTTCTTCTTATAATACTCATGTTTATGAAATTCCTCGTTTGTTCTTTACTATTTACGAAGCAAAAAAATATGAAAGATTATAATTGTATTAATGTAAGACAAGCCTAACACAACCAAAAGGCAAAAATGAGAGAGGGAGAAAGGGAGAGAGAGTTGATTATTATACAGAGTAAGAAAAGGAAAAGCTTGATTTTTCCTCAGATTTTTTTTTTTTTAGGGAAAAAGTTTCTAACCCTAACATAACAAAAAAAAATCGACAAAATGGGGTTTTTTAATGCATTTGAGTTTTTTTAATCCCTTTTTTAATAACATGGGGTTGTTGCAAGTTAATTTACGATAATACTCTTCTAAGATGGGTCATGTACCTGACACGTGACGATTTCTGTTACTCATTATAACAGAAGGATAAAACTTGTTAACGGAACAAAGTTTGGGAGAACATATGTTACTTTTTAAAATTTAAAGGACAAAGTGTTAAAATGATCATAATTCGAGAAAAATTTTTGAAATTAATCCGAATCAAAACTATTGAAAACCTGAAAAAACTGAGAGAGTATCTTTCTGTGCTATTGTAATGCGTCACCTCATAACTTAACAGCCAAAAAACATGATTCCCTTCCCCGTGCAAAATTCTCCCAATGATATATTGTGTGTGTATGCATGTGTTCACTCTAATAGAATTTGTAAATTACAAGTGGAAGTGGGAAATAAAAAGTGGTCTTCAAGTATTAGTCATTGGATATTACAAAAAAAAAAGGGGGAGAGAGAAAGATAGAAAGAAAGAGAGAGAAGAAAAGAAGAGGGAAAGAACTTAAAAGAAAATTAAATTGGAGATTGTTCTAAATACGTGATGGACTTGCATGTCTATTTTTCGGCATTTGGATGTGCTTAGTTTATTTTATTTTATTTTATTTTATTTTATTTTTCTTAAGATAAAAATCTCGGAAATGAAGTCTGATACGATTGCCCACTGCATCAAATCTACAAAATTAGTTATTATAAATTTCGGTGTACATAATAAATGTTAATTCTTCCTTGATTTTCTCCATTATCAGGGAATCATGTGCCAAAGATATTTGGGATATTCATGTATGGGTTTTATAAATGCATTCGTACACATACACTGCAGTGCAACTTTGCATTCTAAAGCTCAAGATTTAGTTAGAAACTTCTTTGAGGTTTCCAAGGTAGATTAATTATTAGAAAATCCATATGAAAGAAAATCCATGCGCCTAACTTTGATTCTCATGTCCAATCTGACCGTGCCAGAAGAACTGATAAATTTAATTTCTTGAAAACCGACAATCATGAGAATAAATATTAATAAACGATGGTTGACTAGAATCAGCAACTCCAATTTATTATCCTTTTAAATCGATGATTTTAATTATATAATTTTAAATTTAATAAAAGAACTATTGATGAGAATTTTTTTAATTTAAATTTTTTATAAGAGAACGAATCAAACTCATTTAGAGTATGTATTTGTTTCTGCTTATAACATACATACCTAACTAATTAATTCAACTTATAAGTATTCAACAGATAAATTATGAGAAGAAATCATGATACAATAAAAATGACAAAGTACCATATCCCGTTTACATTGTGGTGATAAACAGACAAAGAAAAAAAAAAGATTTTCATCATTTTTGTTTGCTTTTCTTTTTCTCTGACAGAAATACTAGGTTTAAGGACATATAAACGTGAAAAAGTCCCAACACAAAACCAAACGGGACAAAAGGTTTTGCAAAAAGACGACGGAAAGTTTTTGCATTATATATCTTATTTTATTTTATTTTTATTTAAGATTGGCGTTATATATCTTTCAGCATATAACTTCTTCTTCTCTTTTTTTTTTTTTTTCCTTTTGCTAAATATGTATTGCTAAAATCCAACAACTAATTAACCACACTACATAAAATGAGAAAGGAAAACGAATAAGATAACAACATTTCTAACATTAATAGGATAAGGTAACTAAGCAGAACTACTGTTTTCGTGTTGATATTACAAGGGTGGACATTGACGCATTATTCTTAAATAACAGAAACGTTAAAAAAAATCAATCTATAGTCATATCATAAAATTATAATACATGAATAAATCTATGTTAGGCAAACAAACAAAATTGTGTTCATTTCATCAATTCGAGTTTACGGTTTTAAATTTATACAGTAAAAAACTCTCAGAAAATATTACATCTAACTTTTTCTGCTACAGTGAAAAGCTCTCAGAAAATGTCATATCTCAGCTTGAATTGAAAACTCGGATCCGCAAAGTGAACGAGGCCTAACGAATACTTACAGTACTAGCTAATTATAATATATTATTTGTTTTTTTATCCTAAAAAAACATAATGTTTTTTAAGTATACGGGTAATTAATCAACCTCACTTTAAAAAATTCCATTGTTCCGTCACAAAACTGATATGCATCACACTTATATGAATAAATTATCCCTACCTAGGAGTACTCTTTTTTTTTAATTATTTTTTTATCAAATTTCACGACTTCAATATTGCACCCAAGGAATTAATATCACATAAATAAGGTAAGCATGCATGCTTGTGGCTGTCGTTTTGTTACTAATTAGGTAAACTAGGTAGCTAGGCCGGCATTACTTTTGACATTTATGAATATTTCGTGCCATTTTTTCGCCCAACTAAACTTTCCCATGGTTCTTTCCTTATTTTTCATTGCAAACGTGAAAAATGTAGGGTTTA